GGACAGGTAATTAATATATACAGTCAATAGCCTTGCCCATTCACAGTGATGCAAGTCTGTACTCCCTGATGCACTCTAATCCAAGGATTATGAACAGCACATGACACATCCGTCAGGTGTCGATTGCCGACTCAAACATGTGTTAATCAAAAGCTTGAAGATTTTTTTTTTCAATTTTATGATATCCATTGATGCATATAAAACGAGGATGTTGTGAGGTGACCTCATGGGAGCACTCAATAGAATCTGCAGTTATTAATGAAATTATTTTTGCACTCCGTATATTATGTAAATTATTTTTATGGTAATATGTTATTTAAATAAATAAAAAATGCCTTTAGTGCCTAGAGTCTCTTCAAGTCACATCTATTAGTATTCTAGTAATTAATTAGATGATTTGGACTTGAAAAAATATGCCATTTAATACTGTGATGTAAATCTAGAAAACTACCACTGTATAATTTATTATTTCCACCATATACAATAAGATTAAATCTTTTTAGACTATGATTACATAGAGGTTTCTCTGTAGCCCCATGTAATTCGACAGCCAGTACGTTTCTGCAGTGCCTGCAGGAGATACACAGTTAATTTTTTTTCCCTGTGTTCCATCAGTACATGAGATAACTATATAGGGCCTCAGAGCTGCATGTCAACAGTTTGATTTGATTATGTTCCTTTCCTTTGTATATTTGTTCAAACAATTCTTTATTATCCAAAAAATGTTTATACATGTAAAAGGATATATATTCTCTTGTCACAGTCAATTGAGCCTTGAACTTACATTTAGGCTTATAAATATTTGTACTTGAAATTAATATTATTTATAGCGTGTACGACAGCTTGGTGATGAAGCATAATCTAAAACAATTCATGCGTCTATAATCAGAGCTGTTACTGGGCAGTGCTATTTCAATATTATCATAATCAAACTGACACTATCCTGTTAAACATTTAAGCACCATTGTCACCTCTTTGAATCTGTTAACAACAAAATCGCCTGAATTTAGTTCATATTTTTTCCCAAAAATGTTATCAAGACTTGTAACTAATAGGAAGTTTTTGTCCAAAATTATCCAATAATCAGAGAAGAAAAAATAAAAATAGGCAAAATTTTGGCAGGAAAAATGTGATTAAACTAAAGAATGAAACAACACTTTAATACTAAGTTACTTTGCCTTTTTCTAAAATAATTTATTGTGAAATGTGGGTATGAAAACATTAACATAAATGTGTTTATCATTTTGGCAGTTTCTTAAATAAGTAACTAAGTTCAGGATATCTGATTATAAATATGATATGTACTGTAGCAAAATGCTTAATTTGTTAGCAGTGAACATTTCATTTCGCGAGGCATACATTTTTGTACGTTGCTGCGATTGTGACAACATTTTGTCCATTTGAGCTTCCCAAAATGGTCAAATCATCAACAAATTGAAATATAATGGTTCATTTCAATTGGACATTAGTCAAAATAAATAAATTCAGTGAAATATATTATACTGGTATAAACTACAAAGGTGTTATCCTTGTTTATTGTCCTCTTAGTAACCCTATCATGCTGCAAACAGCAAACTATTCTAGCCTGACAATTGGTGTTTTGTTTTTGTTCCACAGATCCGTGAGCTATCAGAACAAAGCAAACAGAAAGATAATGAGATCCGTACATTGACTCGCAAACTGACTGACAGCATCAATAAAAATGCTATTTTGGATGAAGAATATGGTTAGTCTTTTTTATTATTTTTTTTGTAAACTTTTAATGATGATGCTGGCATGCATTGTATTATTCAGATGACAATACTGACAAAGCATATATATGCAAATCTGAAATATAAAACGTTTTTTTTTTGTTTTGTTTTTTCCCTTCTGAGCTGCGTTATTATTGTTAGAATTTATAAATGTGTGTTTACTGTATGGTACACAGTATGTGAATAGAATAGAATTTTATATTTTACATGAATACAATACTTTATTCATGCAACTACCAGCTTTTTTTATAAACAAATAAATTGTAGTTTCCTTCATCAATTACAAATTAAGAAAGTTTGTGCTGAATTAACAATTTGCACCGCTGAGCGAGCATATGTGCAATGCAATATGAGAAAGAAATTCCAATTACAAAACAAAACTATTGTTGCACAATTTTTTTGAACATTTGTAACTATGCAATTAATTAAAAAGCCTAACAAAGATAATGTGCAAATTTTAGTAAGGCAGTATGGAAGCTGTATGGAAGTCATATGATGTAATTAGAGAATGCAGGATCCGATGCACATCATGAACCAACTACGAACAAGGCTACTGGCGTATTGTAACAGAATATCACCTGCTACTGCATGGTCTATTGCTTTTTTTATTATACTAGTACTTATTATACTAGTAAACATTCTGAAATATCGTCAGTTGATGCCAGTGCTTTCACATTAATATTAAATGAATTATTAACACATTAGTTCCACTCAAAACAAATATAATTATTTGACCAATAATGTGTTAACTACATGATGCTGAGTCAGACTTTCTGAATATGTAACATACCCTCTGCACGGAAAGCAATCAAGTTATTACTGTAGTATCTGTTATGATAATGAGTGAACTTAGTGTCAAGCACAGTTGGACATTTTGTAATAGAAATGATTGAGTCTATAGTGTTTTTGTTGTGCTTTACTTAATATACAGTGGTGTTCATCATCCAAGCCACTTTGAAATGTTTGCATTGTATTTTTCATGGCTATATGTTATAAAGTATAATAGCGCATCAAAAAAAGTAATAGTTATTAGGAGCACATTGAAGTTGCACAGGTCACCAGGATTTGTAGTGGAGGTATATCGTAATTGCTCTCTGAAAATTCATATCCTTCAATATGTAAATTACAGAGAATGTGATCAGAATATGACATATTTCAATGATCTAGCAATCCTGTTCAGTAAATTGTTAGTCTCGTTAAACAAAGCTCAAAACAGGGGTTTATAATTTGATCCACATTCTAACATTTCCCCTAATTGCAATATCATAAATAATGACCTGTTGATTTATGTGTGCTACTATTGGAGATATGTGTAGGTCACACTTATGGATTAGCATAAACATTTCAATTACTGAGCATGTTACTGCACATATATGCATTGCATTATGGGAGAGAAAATCCTATTGTTTATACTGGAAAACTATTATCACCCTGAAAAATTGCTAAATTATAGATATATATGTACAAATTATAACAATATTAGGATTCATGTGATTGAGCAACATTTTGAGATACATTTTGTATGAAGAAATAATTTCACTATAGAAACCAATTTAAAAGTATCAGTTCATATAGGTGATTGTTCGTCATCTGCCCATCGTCTATCAACAATTCTATTTGAGGCTTCTTCTTGAAAACTACCAGGCTAATTACTTTGATATTCCGTATGTAGGTACCTCAGGTGGGCCTGTCAGGTTTGTTCATATTGTGACAATATTTTCAAGTCTATATTTTGTTAGCGAATATTTTGCTAACAATTGTTTTGATTCTATGGGTTGATCTCCATGAGATTTGATAACAATTGTAATTGCCACGGCAACAACCAAATAAACTTGCATAGTTGTGATATAGCAAGAACATTATGGGAAAACTAATAACCATGGCAAATAGTCAATATCTTATAATTCAGTCTTCATCCATTCGTCCACTTGCCTTCTGGAGTTTGGACAGAATCTGTTCAATCTTTGTATATACCTTGTATTTTGTGTGGGACACATGCATCAGGTATGTCGGACATATTGTCAGTTTTTGTTAAAGTTTGGTATATACATTATACATGATTAAAAAAATGACAGAATATGCTAAAGATGTATTGAAAATTTAATAGAAGATGAGGACTGTTTTATTGACTTGTCAGAAATATGACACTATAAAATAAAAATTTCATCAAAATTGAAAGACAGTAAAAATCTATTCACATATTCACTTTCAAGTAGAGATACAGACAATATTAAGAATTTAACTCACTATATGTACAGCAGAGAGGCTCTCAAACTTATACTATTTATAAAATATCACTTTTTTCCATAATTTATTATTATTATTAATGTTGTTGTTGTTGTTGTTGTTGTTGTTATTTCCTATATGTGTTGATAGAGTGTTCATGTCTACAGGAGATTACAAAATTAAATTTGTGTACACCTGTATTTACTTTTGAATTGTACAGTGTACCACAGCTGTTTGGATCATGAAAGGTTGAATTCATACCTGTTATCACAAAATAGCAGATTTCCACAGCCGGACTTCCCAGACCTATATAATGCATTTAATATGGACTTTGTTCAAAAAGCATTTCAGAATCAATCTCAAACATATATTATCCTATCAAATAAATTGCACCTCTATCAGCAGCTGGCCTCACTGCATTCCAGTTGTGTCAAGTATTAGTAATAACTGTCATCATACTGTAACCTACAGGTGAAAAATTCCATTAATAATCCACTTGACTCTGTTAATGGTCGAGGAAAATTCACAGTGCTTTTTAATAGAGAGAAAAGATCAAGCTGGAAATTACTGTGAAATTTGGGTGCATGTCTGTATTTGGCACCCATTTGAATCTATATCACATGTATCACAAAATATCACGGTAGTAATAAAACACCATATGGCGAAACTCACTCATGTCTCCCACATATAATTAATTCTTCTGCATTTACTTCCTCCCCCCAGTAATTTTACACAATGTCCTCAAGGAGACAGAGGAGGTGGTCAAATCACAGCAGGACCAGCTTAATTATTGCCATACAACATTGAAAAGAAATCAAAATGAAATATCAAAGTTGTCAGAAACTCGGGTAGGTCTGCAAAAAATATAATTGTACAAGTATATATATATATATATATATGCTGATGGGTGCTAAAAACGCAAAGGCTCATGGGGGTGGACACTTGTTTGTAAACAATGACACGATATGGCCATCTGACGCATGCGCAGGTGACAACTCCCTCGCTTTAACCTAATTGTAATTGTAGGGCCTATTATTTAACTTTTATAAGACCCAAGAGGAGTATGCAATACTTGTGTCTTGACAGATTGAGCTAATGAAAAAGTGTGAAGAATTTGAGGATAACGACCGGGACATGCAGACAGTGGTGCAAGCACTTAACGACAACATTTCTGAGCTGGCCAATGAGCGAGAGACCTTATGCAATGAAATCAAAACTCTCAGTAGTCACGTCTTCAGCAAAAGTGTTAGTATTTGTTTTCTTAGCTGAATATATCCTATGATGTTTGAGAGAATCACAAGAAAATATAATGGAGTGGATGTTATCCTGCTTACAGCAGTAAAAATATTTCATTACAGTTTATTAAACCTATCAAATTAATAAATTGATAGATGCAAATCATTATTGTATATTTTCTTCTTTTTCTTTTAGAAAAAGATTGCAGAAGTAAAAAAAGACTTGAAGGTACCAACAATTTTTTATTTATACGGTTTGGGTTTCGTGCGTTTATTCATTCATCGCATTATCTCAGAAGTTCATTGACTGATTTTACCCAGACTTAGTACATAGTTGTCACATGATGGCATACATATGCGACCATATTTGTCATAAAAATAACCTAAAAACCTACATTTTACATGTTTAGAGCATTATATATATTATCTCCAAGTTGTGCTGGCCGATTTGAGATCTTAGAGTATTTGTAACACCTATTGACATACATCTATCATTTTTCTGATTTTTTTAGAAAATTTGGCAACCGACTGCCATTGTGTACGTCAAAAATACATGTTTTTTACTCCTGTGTGAAGCACACAATGGGAGTCTTTGTGGTTAGTTTGTCTGTGTATATGTATGTGTGTGTGTGTAAGTCTGTTCCACTGATATCTCAACAAACAATTATCAGACATCAATAAAATTTGGTACATAGATGCTGTGAGGTTATGTGCAGACGTGATTACAAAATTGGAAATCTTTTGTTATTGTCTTTTTCGAACATTTCTGCTTATATCTGAAATTTTCACTGTCAAATTGGGTCAAAACTTGGTTTACGGAAAATTGTGTTCAAGAACATCAATGAAAGTTGATCTATGTTGTAATGATCCAATCCAATTGTCATGGCTGAGGAGGCTGAGACATTCTCAATGGATTGTTACACTGTAACTAATATTTTATGTCTTTTTGGCAACGTACAGCACACTTACCTGCAAGTTTTTTAAAAAAAAACAAGTCATCTGAAGATGACACAGCCCCCACTTGTCAGATGTGATTATAGTTGGCTATGAATTATAAAGTTTGAATGTATATGTATAAAATCGGGTAGGAAGATTAAGTTGAAAAACAAAAGTATGTTACTCAAAGGACAATTTGCATCAATTTTAACAAAAATTCACAATCAATTGAATATGGAAATTCAATTGAGTCAATATTTAATAGCAAATACATGAACAAGATATTAACAAAAATTCAAAATTAATTAAATATTCAAATTAGCTCATTAATTAAGTTGAAACTCAATATTGCATAGCACATATCTTATATTGACAAATCAAGTCTCTACCAAGTTTGGTCTGATTTGGACTATCAGTTCACAAGATATTAACAAGAATTAAAATTAATAATTAAATATGCAAATGAGCTAATTAATTGATTCCTTGAAAAAATAAATCAATGTGCATCTGGACCAGTGGTCACTCTGTCTTTGTACCAAGTCTCGGCAAAATCAGTACAGGCATCACTGAGAAATGATGATGGACACACCCTAAAAATTGAATTTTACAGGATTTTGACATTCAAAATGACCGCCAGGCAGCCATATTTGATCAAATCAGGAAATAAATCCATGTGAATATGTATACCTCCTCACTGTGTCTTTGTACCTAGTATCATTGAAATTAGTCAAGGCATCTCTGAGAAATATCAATGGACAGACAAAAGCCATGATTAACAATCAAAATGGCTGCCAGTTGGCCATATTTGATCATTTCAAAAAGGTAAAACAACGTGCATATGTATGGGTGGTCTATTTGTCTTTGTAACACCTCTCAACAAAATCGGTCAAGCCATTTCCGAGAAATGTCGATGGACACACAAGGACTGAATTTTGGCATTAAAAATGGCCGCCGGTCAGCCATATTTGATTGTACGGGAAAATAAATTGATGTACACATGTACGATTGACCACTATGTTTGTGTACCAAGTTACAAAAAAAAAAAACGGTCCAGCCATCTCCGAGAAATCACAATTTACTGACAAAGGCGAAACTACAAGCCCCCTCCCAGTGGGGGCTAATAATATGAGGTTATCACAAAAATACACCTTACACATAGCAATCTTATAGCAACACATAGCGACAATGTTTAAAATCATTAGTAATCATAACACAAAAATGGACTATGGTCTGGGTTCATTGACATGATTTTTTTTCATCGTTATACTACGCCTGATCTAAATTAAGGGAAGCTGATGAATGTGCTGCAAATTTCAAACACTGGAATAGTTGCAAATACCCTTTAAACAAATGCAAATGCATCCTTTTTTATAGAACAATACCCGGTAAATTATATTGTTTTTGGTGCCAGATGTATAACAATGGCTTATTAAAATCGGATTTTTTGTATATTTTTTTAGTTGATTTAAATTGTGTTTTTAATTTCCATCTTCCCTCTGCAGCATAAGAAGAAACTCATTAAGAAAATCAGTGGTGTTGCTAACAAGTCATATGATGCAGAAGAGGGATTGGACCATGGCAATTTTATAACACCCATTCATAGTGATATTGATAAATTCATTGAGGATGAAATAAATGCATACTACACCATGCCTCATTTAATCTCATCATCCCCTCAACAGGACGATGAGAGAGAACACTGTTTCCTTCAAAAAGATGAGGTAAAAGAGTCTTATTATGCTTCAAAACGAAACTCAACTCCTTTGCAGATTCTGAGAAGTGTTCAAGCTGACAAGCATTCTAAACTGAAAGAAGTTTATGAACCACCTTCAAGGAGCAATGCAGGCAATGGCTCTGATGAATTGCAGACAGATGTTTCGAAAGAGAGACTTCGTAGAGGAGAACGACAGCCTTTAATCCAATCTACTCGTCGTAAGAGTTACCATGGAGGGAAAGTGCTAGGACTCAAAGAGGGGTTGAGACACCACAGACCTCGATATTCACTTTATGGTGGAGAAAAAGAAAATGTGAGACCAGCTGAAGATTTAGAGTGCGCTACTGAAAGAGATAAAGACGAGAAGAAGAAGGGAGTCAGAAAGCTCAGTTTCGATGCCAGTAAGTTTGAAAAAATAATTAATGAATATGGTCAAAAAAGTGAAACAGATAATGGAGTTTTGAAAGTAGCTAAGTGGGCTTACTCTGCCCAAAGAAGGTGTCACCAGCCGCCACAAGTCAAAGAAAATGACGTCAAGCCAGGGTTTAGGAAGATGAGGCGAAGACACAGCGGTGCTGATGAGAAAGAGGTTCAAGCTGCTGCCGAAGACTGGATTCACAGACAAGTCTTCACAGCTGATGATGAAGTAGATAATGATAAATTGCCATTCTCACCTCCATTTGCATTTAATTCCAATGATAACCCAACCACAGAAAGTGAAAACCAAACAGCAGATGGTGTGTCAATTGTAAGTCAGACGTCTAGTCAGCTGAGCTACATCGATGCTGAGGGAGAACTATTACGTAAACAAGAGATGGAGTCTTACATCATCAGGTCAAAAAACAGGTGAGTGCATAGATCCTAGAGTCTATAGTTCGAGTTCATATTGAGAGCAAACCTTCAATAAATTTACAATATATGTTGTTTAAGGTCATTCATGGATATTCAATCTAGATTAAATAAGGATAAACAATTCATCACAACTGTTTGTTTCAAAAGTGTTGCATAATTATTGGACACAAGTTTTCACCCATTACAAAATATGTTTTTAGGGATAACCAGCTGAAAAAATTGTATTTTTGGAAATATTTCCATGTTAAAGCGTTATTTTTTTAAAAGATAAATTGTAATCATCATAATTCCCTAATAATTCCTGACAACCGTAATTGCCCATCTAATAACTACATATGTCAATTTCCCATGGGAACCAATTGTGAAAATCAAAATGTTCATGAATGGTAATTAGCCATTTTGTGTACAAAAAGGTAGTTTGGTGACCATATGTGGGTTTTCTGAACAGCACAAAGTAAAACTATATTGTAAAAATGGCAAGATAATCTGATGTCAAAAAATATAGTCATATTTTAATGATCTTATATGTACAAGAAATGCAGTTTTGGATTAATTATACTAGAGGCAGCTGCCAATAGAGCAAACACTTTATATGGTTATATGCTCCAATATATAGCTTTCATTTTCTAATTAATAAATAGTAACCGGTTTGGCATCCAGAAAGGTCATGGGATTTTTTTAAAGAACATCATTTGATGATTTATTCTTTTGCTGATAAATACACTAGACTAACCAAAATACACATGTGAGACTGTAAAACAGCTACAGACCATGACTGACTAATAGAGATTTATTGATTTGATGCACTCACATGCTACAGGACATGGCAGAATGTATATGTTGTTCAGCAAGGAAAGTTGCTTCACTTCTATGAAGACCAGTACAACAGGAACATGGGAACCTCTTTAAATTGCGAACCCCCGATGGATCTGACGCACGCACAGATTACAGTGGCTGGCGACTATACCAAGAAGAAGCATGTGTTTAGGATCAGGTATTTTGTATAATGGGGCATTTTTATTTTATTTTTATTTGTGATTTATTGTAGTTAAATGTAATATGAAAAAACAATTTTTGCAGTGCATGGAGCTGCATTGTTAATCCATTAATAATTGCATATGGTAGAAGGTCTACTACAAAAATTAAAATATCCATAATTGATCAAAATGAAATATGGCATTCCGCATATTTGAAATGGTTGACAATCTAAACATTGGAGGCACATCAATATCCCAAGATATTTACAAATTCATTTTTTTAACGAATATATGCATTTTAATGATAAAATCCATGAACAATATTTACTGACATCTTTTTTTTTTTACTAGTTTCCGCAAATATTTTATACTCCAAGGACAAAAATTAGTAATTTTTTATGGATCTGCTTATCAATTATAATTGTGAGAGATTAAGTGGATATTTCACTGCTTTGTAGATTTATGTTTATGGGCATCAAAATATGCTTATAGTTCTGCTCTAGCCACTTGTTTAGTTTGAGTGGATCATAAATTTCACATCTACATCATAAATTAACCATGATTGTTAAATAAATGATTTCATTTTCTCCATTTGTTTTCCCGTCAGACAACCCTCAGGAGCCCAGTATATATTCCAAGCCAGAGACAACCCAGAAATGATGTTCTGGTTGTGCAGCCTTGATGCTGTTACTCATGATAGAGATGAAGCCACAGCACCATACGGGGCAAACTATCCACTGCATATCATGGAAAACACAAGCCCTTCCTCGGCTGCCCCAGGCTCTTCAGAAAAACCCAACATGTGGAAAAAATTCCTCAAGACCGTCACACCGGTTAAAAAGAAACAGTAACTTTTGTAAATTATTTGCCATGAAATATACATAATATATATTGGTATAATATATCTAATTATTTAAAACATTAAAATAATATGTATTGATTAAAATTAACTAATTGATTAAATATTTATTAAGATTGTAAGACATTTTGGAACTTATGTTTTTTACTGCTGTGCCATTTTTTTTTTATTATCTATCAAACAGATATATCAATAGTATCTAATATTATACCTGTGTCACTGTCCTCTGTTGGACTCGCCAAACCCATAATATTAATCTAACCTTTAACACTCAATTCAGCTATCAGAATTAAAGTGTTGCAGATCAATAGTGAGACATTAATTTATAAAGCACAAAGTCACATGTTACCATGTTTTTAGCTCACTCTAAATTATTTATGGTCAGTACTGGTATAAAGTGTACACAACTTGTAAATGCAGTCCAATTCTTCCCCATTAACTATCCCTGCACAATTTAGGTTTTATGTAATAATAGATAATAATTTTTTTTATGGGTACTCATTTATTGCTCTATAAATGCCATCTCTGTACATGTTTCCCTCCCCTGTGGGTGATCCAACTTCTTTGTTTTATGCCGAACTGAATCCCCCCAGTTGCGACTATATAAACGCTGTGGTGGATCTTTCCATGCATTTCAGTGAATGAGTTCTCTCGTGAGAGTTTTGTAACAAACTATTTCTGTGTTTAGAATATATATGATGAAAGTAAAGCATGTATGTAGACACGTCTTTCTACTGGTTATTATAATGTCAGGATGAGAATATATTTCATAGAAATCACCCATCTGTACTATGTGTAGTTTCAAGAACATTGAGTGGAACCGATTCTATAGCTGGGCTATTCACAAAATGAATACAAATTAAATGAAGCAATTGTTAGATCACTATTAATGAATTGTACATTCAGCTGTTGGAAATTTGTTAAAGTAATAAGTTATAATAATAAGTAATACTCTTTCAGATCTATTCTAAATGTTTGTACAGCAATGATTATTATATTCCAAGAAAAACTAAAATATTTAAAATTTAAGTGTTGTCTGCCATGCATGCCTACTTGATGAAGATCTTGATCTCACAAATAGTTTATATTAAATTTTAAATAGATTGAATTTAAAAAAAATAGGAGTAAAGTTGTGGTTTGATTAAGAAAGTGGGGACCTCTATGATATAAATACCACTGAACTTGACCTGGTCTCACCTTGTTATTGAGCTTGACCTGGTTTGAACATGTCAAGTTTAGGCCACTATAGCCTTGATAATAAAATAATTCTCAGCCGTTACACTAGAGCACATAATTTCTCACCAGTCTAAATTCACAGCATTGGATTATGATCTCTGCTGCAAAGTGACCCTGTGTTATTAGAGCACTTTTCATTAAGGTATATTCATATAAATACATAGAAGGAAGTAATTTTATCATTTCTTGTGTCAAGTAGGATCAGCACTCAATGCAATTGTACTCTACCCACACAGCACTGTAAGCAAAAACAAAGATTGCTGAAATATATCTGACATTTGTACACCTTTATTTTGATGGATAACTTGTAGATTTGTTCGAGCTCACATGGGTAGACTAATGGTTTGTGGCCATTGTTACATGTGTATGACTTGTTCAGATCTTGAAGTATGAAGCCATCAAACTATTTTGCATATTTTCTCTATTATTTTTTATAAATTTCACAATTAAAACTGACACGAGGGGTTTCTATTGGCCAATTGAATAACATTGGAAAGCTTTTAAATGATATCGTTACAAACATATTTAAAGATTAAGGGAATGCCTATTTTGCACTGAGAGTGAAATTTTAAGTAGTGTATCGGTGTACATTTAGTATACTTATTTTGATAGACCTAATACAACATTCTGGTTTCCAAGGAAATACATTACTGATGGGAGAAAATTTGATTGTAATCCAACTTTTTGCACTAAAAAAAAGATGGTACCTCAGTTCATTTCAATGGAAAATATTGATGTTTCTACAGCTATTGCCCTCATTCTTGTTGGCCATATTGAATTTTATTGGTCAAAACCTGAACAATCAGAAACTGATGCATAATGGAATGATTGAAGCCCCATGGATCTTTTTAGCTCCGCTGTCGACTTTGTCGAGCGGAGCTTATCATATGAGTGATTGTCCGTCGTCGTCCATCGTCGTCCGTGTCAATGTTTTACTTTTTCGACTTCTTCTTGAAAACTACAAGCCTGAATGCTTTGATACTTGGTGTATATGTACCTTGGGTAGACCTCTCTTAGATTTGTTCATTTCATGTTGATATCTTCAATTCTCTAATTTTGGTGAATATTTTTGTCATTTTTAGTAAAAAGTGATATTTTCGACTTCTTGTTGAAAACCGCAAGTGCAATTGCTTTGATATTACATATATAGGTACTACATGTGGACCTCTCTCAGATTTGTTCATTTCATGATGATATCTTCAATTCTCTAATTTTGGTGAATATTTTTGTCATTTTTAGTAAAAAGTGATATTTTCGACTTCTTGTTGAAAACCGCAAGTGC